TTGTGATTTTATACTTTTAATTAAAATTATTCAATTTATGTTATTGAAATTAATGCATTGAAAATTTGATCACCTTTTAATTAGTATTAAATTATAATATTAAGAAATAATTAACGTCACATGTGATAGTGAAGAAGGAGAAGAAACTTAAGAGCTTCCCTTTTCTAAACTAACGGTTTTCGTTTTAAATTACATAAAAATATGGCTAAATTAACACTAAACAAATTAATTTTAAAAGTATATTAATCTAAAATTTATATTGATTAGTTATAACAAGGTTGATGCCTCATATTTTGATTAACTTTATTTTAATTATTATTTTTAATTAAATTTCTTCTTTTTAATTGTTTAAATAAATTTAAATTAATTATTTTTTATCCTTAATTAATTACAATTCTCGTGACACAACAATTAAAGACAGACAAACTTTTGGTTAAGCTATTTGCTTTTCAACAATCAACAACAATTAACAAATCTTTGGAAACAAGAACAGATTCACCAGGTATATTCATTATTTCTGCTAATATTTAACAGGCAGATTAAAGTTGTGTATGTCAACAGCTAAGCTGCAGTCTGCATCAACAGGATTTCCAGAAAACCAAATCAGCATAAAGCCCGAAACGATACACCAAACTTGACTACCTGATTAATAAAAGCAGTAATGAACCAACAACAATACTTTAGCTTTGTTTAATCCATAGTAAATTAGCAATACATCTCAACATGACTGGAACCATAAGTAACCTTTTGGAAAGCGAAATGTAGCATTTCTAGAATTTGAAGATTCATTGATAACAAAGACTTGCTTAAACAACAGACTTAATCTTAATGCATGCAATTTTCAGAACTAGTGAACCATAAGAGGTTTTAAGAAGTTAAGTCAAGTCAAGAACTTGTTCTCTATGTTCAACAGATCTTTTCCACCTCACTCGGCTAGCCTAGATTATTAGGTGCTTCCTTGTCCATGAGAACACACACAATGTCTTGTAGTCAAGTTGGTACACACTACTAGCTTCAAAACCTTGCTTGACTCTGGGACCAAGATCAGGGGTTTAAAGTTCAAACCACTCTACTAGCTAAGCACAATAATTTTCCTTATGTACCAAAAAATTAAAGATAATAAAAAAATGCCGTGTCTTAAATCCTTCTAGACCAGCATAAGTTGAGTACAATACATAAAAGCCAGATCAGGACCAAAAGATCATGTAAATGAGCCAGAATGGGTATGAAAGCACTTGCATGTGTTAAAACATTGTCCAAATGTAGAAAAAGCTATTGATAAGAATTCTTATAATTCTTTCAAAAATTATATCCATAATTGACATTTTTTAACAGCACTTGAGTCATGAAAGTAAAATAGCAGAGATGTGCATCCTTCAAACCCAGTACAACAGACTACCACCAATTGCATCCTAAAAAATATTAGCATATAAAGTAGAAACTACTTCCATGAACATGAAGTCCACCAAAAATAGGATGCTGAAACCAACTATGAGTCAGGAGTATCCCTGCTGACTGTGCAGAACAAGAGAAAGTGATAGAGTAAAAGAAGATGCAACATGAAGGCGTCAGCAATAAAAAGAACTATGCCACTGTTCAGTAACCTTGTCTGAAATAGAACAGAATTTCTTCCCACCTAGCGTATGGAAGCATCAAATCTTGGCTCATAGAAGCAAACCTGACTGTTATATGACTGAAGAGCACATCCAGCAATCCAAGACCAAACTTTCTTATCCATGTCATAGAGAAGACCCTTCCCCTGGTTCCAAGATGTAAAGCAAATCAGATTGTCCTGTCCAAAGCACTCAAATCTCTCAGCTGATAGCCTCAGGAGAGCTCGAAAATACTTTGGTGGCATTCTACTTATCTCCACCCACATGATCTTGGAATGATCCAATTCCCAAATTCTCATACTCTGAAGAGTACTATAAAGACCAATCCTTCCAACTAGAAACAGACGCTTCTGAGTCCCAGCAACCAAATAACCATCCAACAAAGACCTTGGAAACCTTGCAGGAATATGTTCCCAATATCCAGTGTCCAAACAATACATCATCAAACCAAGAGGTGAAAGGGTTTCAAGATACAGCCTGGAGTCACAATATGCCATCTTTGAGGAGCAAAGGTTAACTGCAGGCATTATCTGGTGGAGAGACCATTTATCAAGTTTTGAATCATACACTTCAGTAGGCAGTGACTTATCACCATAGATATCACTGGTGGCTATGACTTTAAATGACCGATCTGTCCGATCCACAACCATAATCAACTGTCTTTGCTGATTATAATGCATATATGGTAATGTCCTCCAAGTTTGTGTCAGAGGATTACATACCACAGTTTTGAAAGTTAGGCCATCAAGTCCAGAAAAGCAAACAAGGCCCCCTGAAGAACCAACTAACCAGAAGGCCCATTGAGGCAAAAAATTGAATGGAATTCTATACCATGTTTTCAATGGCAAGCTAAAAACTGAGCACTGCAGGGTCTGTGCGTTCTTCCAAAATGTAAGAAGACAGGGTCCATGAGATGGCACTTGGGAGTGAAACTTAAGAAAACTGCTATCTTGAAGAATTGAGTTCCACCTTTTACAGACTGAACGAAGCCTAAAGATCATAAATGGTGGAACCCTAGCTAAAATCTCATTCAACAAGTCCTCAGGCAACATCGCCCATATTCTATCCTCCATTTGAACATCAGGGTGAATAGCTTTACCAAATGTAGCAACCGTTTCTTCATCTAACCCACGAGGTTTAGTCTTTATCACCTTTTGCCTCGAAGGGCTAGTATTCCTCGATCCCACACGACCAAGCGGACTCGTATTCCTCGACCCACCACCTCTAATGGGTGAAACTTGCTTAGAGCACCTCTCCTCATCACGAAAAATTTCATCTTTTACCGAATGGGAACCAGACACCCCAACCCCAGATTCAGACGATTCCCCAATGCTACCCATAGAGGTTAAAACTCAAAACTAAATCAACCCAATGTCAATCCTCCTCCAAACACCAACTGAATAATCCAATTCTGTTTTAAACGCCAAAAAATCCGACCTTTCAGTCTCGAACGATCATCTCAGGATGCAACAAGGAAAGCCCATAAATCCTAAACACTAAACTCAACCAATCACTCAACAGAACAAGCAAGGAAGCTCGGATCAAGAACCCCAGCTCCTAACCAGATCAAAAAAAATGATAATCTAGGATATGTAACAATGCTTGGAAGAAATTATAGGAGGAGCAGCTTAGTATAAATCAATGTGGCAATAGAAAATGGCAGAAAAATGGAAGCTTGAAGGATCTCGGAGACGGGTTACCTTTCGTTGAAGAATCTTCTTAGTTCTGCTTGGTGAGGAAAAACTTGTGAGAGAGCAAAATTCTCAAGTGTGGCGTTGAAACAATAGATAGAACTTCAACAAGAAGTTCAACCTTCTAACATCATGCTAAGGCTCCTATTTTGTCATTAACTGAAAAAAGAAAAAAGAAATAAAAAAATACTAGTATACTACCCCTATTAATTTTTGTATTACTAGTAAATAATAAATAATTTTATGTGAACTGCCTTTCGAACCAAGTTACTCTAACCATGTTTATAAAGTTTGTAAAGTTCATATTTTTTTTTGAAGGCAACGATTCGAGTCGGCCTCATGATAAAAATGTTTAAAAAAATAAATAAATAAATAATTTTATGTATTGTTCATAAAAAATGAAAAAAAATCTTTGATGTATTAAAAAATGGGGAAAAAATTTAGTGCTACATAAGATATTCCTCTCATACCATTGTTGGTCCAATGAGTAAAGATGAAATAATTGTTTAAGTTCAAATTTAATATCTTAAGAAGGATTGCTCAATCACAGAACGAGTTGTGATTTCATGATAATGGTGCAATCCAATGGGATTAAGAGATGCGGTCCAAAGATGAACGGTGAGGATTGATGGGGTGCACCGGGTGATTGCTTGTTCTGGCTGCTTTTTTTTTTTTTAGGGGTTGAACCGTTGAAGCTTCTCAGCGTTACCTCCAAAAAAAACAGGAGAAAAAATAATAAAAAATATTTTAATTTATACTTTAAAAATAAAATATTTTAATTTTTTTCAATAAATATATATTTTTTTTAACAATTGTTATAAGACTGAAGTGAACCGTTGCTGGGGAGGGAGAAGCGGGAAAGGGGAAGAGGGAAGGGGAAAGGGGAAAGGTGAACTTTACGAGGGTGATGGATGCCAATCAATCCTGTAGGCCAAGTTCAATAAGTTTTTATTAAAATAATTTAATTTTAGAATAATATTCCTTTTAATTTTTAAGAGAAAAAATAGATAAGCACTATTTTTTTTTTAAATATATAGATATATGTCTTATGATAAATTATATGATAAAAAATAATATTCCCTTTATCAAACTCCTCTTCACACATTTTTAAATTTAAACTTAAACATGGAGATTCAACCTTTTTAATTGCTGAGATATTCATAAAGTTCTGGTTGC